GCTTGGTATCATAAGTTGAGCTACTACGGGTTTGGACAAAATCACTAGTTAAAAATTCATTCTGACCTTATTATTTTTATGTTCATCTTATTATTTATTTGTTTTGTTTTTTCTAGATTCTTTTTTTACCTTAGTCCATTCCATTTATGGTTATTTCTGTGTTTCTTCGGGTGCCTGTACTGCCTAGGCCTGCAAACGAAAGCACCAGATCCAATCCGCTTTCTGAAACTCGGAAACATATTATTAATAAGTTGGCCTCTTCTCTGGCTCTTGCTGCAGCCAACTTCTGCTATATGAATGAGTTTCGGTCTACCTACGCGGATTCACCTACATGCAATGGATCCAGAAACGACCGCTTCCGACTTCCGGCCACCACTAGCACCTCTTCTACTGGAAGACAGGAATCGGCCTCTCATATGTCTCTTGATTCCTTAGCTCCATTACTACTACTAAAAACCGTGCCACGGCCCCCTGGACTAGTTTCTGCGCGAGAGCTGAGAGCTCTTCTTACCAAAAATTTTGAGAGCAACTGGCAACGTATGAAACCATATTTAAACAACCTAATGTGCATGTTATTGTTGCGATTGTTTTCACTTTTATAGCTAATGTCCTATTTTCACTTGCGTTCTATTCTAGTTCCACAACTTGATGTTGCAGCTAACTTACTGCCTACGTCTGAACAGTTCCAGGTATCTTCTTGGGCACCTGGTATTTTCGAACGTCTTACTCGGCGTCTTTCTCTTTTTGCTATAAATCCTTTTGGCCTATCCAAGCAAGCAATGCATCCAGTACAACAAAGCTCTGAGAACCTCTTTTATGGTGCTGAACGAATCGCTCCCCTCGTTCGGGCTATGCAGATGAATACCCCTACTAGCCAGCCCACAATTTGCCCAGATAAAAGTGCTGCTTCGCCTATTCAAGCGCCTACCCAAGTCAGGCCAACGACTCGAGCTGCAGCATACAAACGCCTTAAAATGTGAGTTCTGAATAATTATTCCTAGGCACTTTATTGTCATTGGTCAAATACATGCAATAATAAACGGAATAACTCGTTTTTATAGAGGTTGTTTGACTTTGTTTTTACAACTTGGTCATGTTGAAAGACTTAGAGGAATGCACCTCTTCCATTGTATGCATGATCATTTTCAGAGTAGGACCGTGGACGTGGTACAAGATCCGAGAGAAATCTAATGAACAGAAGATTTGAAGAAGGTAGGATCAGCGAAAACTTTGCATATTGCCTAAACAAACTCGGAGAAGACGAGGTAACAGTAAGATCAGCAAAACGAAGACGAGTGGATCAAGGTAACATCCTTAATTTTAGGAAGAGAGATCGCAGGGGGATGAGAAAGGAACAATCAGATGCAGGGCGGAGACGTCTTCAGTGAGCCCAATCAAAACAAGTAGGACCACGACAATTGTGGGTTGGCACACAAGAGACTAGGACGTAGGAAGTGATATGCATGGTATTACAGATAGAAATATGAAAGACGCGGTGGAGACTAAAGCTGTTTGCCTGACAATAGATGTGTTTGATCAGACGTCATCCGTGAATCACGACTATCGTTAGCCAACTAGCTCTAGTTTCCACTGCTTCTATCCTATTTTTATCTATAATAACAAGTCTATAGTTTCCCATGCCCTAGTCTTTTGTGTGCCAATCCACAAACGTTGTGCTTCAACATTGAACCTAATCAAAGCAAGCAGTACCACAACATTTGTGAGTTGGCACACAAGAGACTAGGGCATGGAAAGTCATATACTTGGTATTAGGCATAGAAACAGGATAGACGCAGCGGAGACTGGAGCTAATTGGCCGACAGAAGGTCTATTGTACCATAGACATGGT